AAGTCACACGCAATAGCTCTTATTTCAAGAAACTGAAATTCAGTGAGGGAGTATTCCAGGTGAAGAGGAGTTAGAAGAGATAGAAGAAAAAGAATTTAATTCTTCAGATGTTGAAAATGTACCATCTACTCCACCGGATATACAACCACAATCAATACGCAAATCAACCAGATTAAGACGTGAACCGGAATACCTCAAAGACTTCATAACATAAACAATAACAATGAGATCATTGACCTGATTGACACCTTTCTTCTCTCAGGGTTTTGAGTTTAAGTATGGAATTTTCTAGTAGTTAGTTGGTTATATCGTTAATGTTTAACATTGTTGAATTTATGCTTCATCGTTACTACTGCAATGAATATTTGTGAGATACCTATGTTTATGAACTTATATTATAACCTCTGCAAGGCAAGTTAAAGGCTACCATATAGATTATACCAGAAGTATACAAACTCTGCAATATGATTTATTCATTAACATTCATAGACTGAATATCTAAAGAGGAGATGGATGTAATGTCCAGTACAGTAGTACACATTTATATTCATGTAATTGTTATTTGTGAAGTGCGCCCTCACAGGCAATATGTAAAACAGTGTTTACAATATGGCTGCCATGTTCATGCAGTGAATAAATAAAGCTCAAGTTTGTGTTCCCACCATTGTATTAATTTCTGCCTCACGATCTTACACTTTGAGCTATGGGTAACCTAAACTATTGGTCATGTGACTATTGGCATGAAAAATTAAATCGAACAGGTCATCTGCAGTATGTGGGTCACTGAGGAATATGGTGTCGTATTCTGAGCGATAGGTCTTGGCGGAGTCTTTCGTCCCGGGTGACGATAATAAAACGAGCATGGAACAAAACTCGATTCCAGGGACATTGTAATTAACACAAATCAGGACCGGAAAGCAACAATTTTGTTTCACGTACCTTTTCGACAGTCCTGTGAATCAAAACATTGAAGGCTGGTATCAGCGCCAGACCAATGGCGCATAGCAGTAAACCCACTCCAGCTGACACGCCTAATTTTACTTTCGTGGCTACCATGGTGATATGTATATGAAACGGCGGAAATCAGACCTGGGCATAATGCTGTCCACACACGCAATCAATTCTACATAGTATTAGTACAGTGTGTTCGAACTTTCATCAACAAATGTCGAAGATCATGTGACCACTGTAATCAATGGGGTGGGCGTGTCACATTTATTTGCATCGCCGGGGTCAATGATTGATACTACTCTGGGTGGACATGTACAATTTTTCGGAAGCAATTCTATTGGTGATACAAATTACAGCACATGGACGATAAATAGCAAGAAAACAAATACAAAATGACCTATATTATAAGGCAATAGGTAATCAAAATGACTATCTATGACTTATAATCAAGATGTAAATCTAAAACATGGAGGTAATATTACTTCATGTATTCTAAGAATAATGTCTAAAATACCATCTTTCTAAGCAACCATATCTACTGATGAAAATAACATTATAGTTCTGTGGCCTATTAAATATATTTCAAACCTTGACAAATAATATAAAATAGAAGACAAGGATTCACTGCAAGGCGTTGCTGTGTCAATGACATATCATTTTTATAATGAATTTAGTCTTCGGTTTTTATATATCGGACTTGATATTATAAAATATTGCACATATTCCTTTTTCTTCTGTTGTTTTGATATTGTTTGTTTTTCGGATTCTATTTTTAAGCAATGATTATCAGTGTAAACTTACTAAAGCTTTCTTGGGGAGGTACATTTTTTCATGACTGTAGTCAAAATTGTTTTCGAATTTCCTGTAGGTTTTAAATCTGCTTCACTTAACAGCTTATTTGATGAACTTATCATTAATTGGGGATGAAATGCACTTTCTGATGGAATGCAACAAATATAATAAAGTTGCGTACCAATCTGTTCAATAAAGCTAAGGATATGATCCCAGCATTTAAAAGTTTTATTATTAACAGTATAGTTTGTTCTATAGTGTCAAATGAAATTAGTAATTCTGGCTGTTTTGGCATCGTCGGATATGTTGACCAGATTGACCTTTCAACTTACAAATCAGCTGACACATCACCTGACTATGACCACTGCTGTTGCGCAATCTCCCAGGCAGAGTTATGCTTTCGGTTTTCTGGCCACAAAGATCTATCGGAAGGAGAATGACTATTGTGTGGTGACGATCAGGCGTATGCATTGTGTTTAGACCTGGTTAATGCGCAAATATATTTGACAAGATGCCGAAGTGCAACATAAACTGCGAGTACTGGCCGCTGATCCGGTTCATGCTACCGCTGACTTGCACGTTTATCGCTGTGAACGTTGCCGAACAGGTCAGTACAATATGTTTAAGCGTCATTACCACATTTCATGATAGTTCCGTCAACTCGAACAACTACATCGGGGGCAAACAAGATTCGTACCTGATAAGATTTTAGTACAGATTCGTGCATATTATTAGGTGATTTGCATACTATTTAAATACTTTGTTTTGTTGATCCAGTTCGCGCAAATGAGTTAAAATAGGACAAACACATACTGTTTGTGTAGTTGAAAATTTAGAAATAATATGTACAAGTTAATTAGTTAATTTGCATTCTAATTAACAACTTTCAACATGTTTGGTTGATATCTTAACAGTTGGCTCAAATGGTTTAAATCCTGGTATATATGTATATTTCACTTGTCTGACATTGTTATACTATGTTTGCTATGCTAATTTGAACGATTAATTAACTAAATTAGTTTTAAATTAATCTATAAAGCAACATGTGCATACAGAGAAGTGGTTGTACGTTAATTGTTGACTTCAAATCGCAGCATTTTCTAACATGTCATTTCAACTGGATGTAATAGCCATCAAGTATATTCACCTTCATTGAGAAACTTGGCCTCTTAAGGCGTGGAGGTGCGCTGCCAGAGAAAAACGGTGTACCAGTAAAAAAAAATGTCTTCAGTTAGTTGGGTGCATTTAGGCATGCTAGATATTTTTGTTATTGATCCCGGCAGAATTATTCTCTAGTATTATTTCATATACATATTATTTTGTTTCCAGTTCTGCCATCGTCCTCTTTCTGCAATGAAATCCTGAAAGAAACAAAATCTCACTGAATGGATGAACCAATGATGTCAATGCTCTCGTGTGATCACATGTAATTTCTTTTTTTTCTAGACGTTGAATCGTGGACTCACGTCATCTAAAGATGCCACTTCTATACTGGCCATATTTGGTATCTCTTACACATTGGTGAAATTTGCGAATGGCTCTTTGCTGGAGTTTAAACATGTTGGTGTTGTACAGGTACACAGTCGTCGTGATATCGTCAAACCAATCATATGCATCTTTGGAATCGGTACTTTTATCATATTGATAGCATTGCTTATATGTAAGTTCAATGTTATTTTCAATGACAAACATTCTAAATGATAATTTGAGCAAGGCAGCATGGTCAAGAAAATTAGAAAAAATAAACTCCCAAAAAAATAGTTTGTATTTCCAATCTAGAATAATTCATAATTATTGGCTGGGATTAATTTTCACTGATTTTGTCACTAATAGAAAAGTACGCTAAATTAAAACTTCATGAATATTCAAATGTAACATTAGAATGTATTGTTTCCTTCTATGAAATCATTAAATCCATGTACAATAACATAAACTACAAGGTAAA